ATGTTCATTGAAGTAGCTTTAACAGTACAATGTTTGCAAAGAAAGTGAAATGTTAGATTTAAAGACCCCCACACCATTTTACCCTGATTTTAAATCACCTTCTAACACCAGAGATAAAATCCTTATTTTGTTACTTTTGGAATTATTGCAACATTTGCCATTGGAAACATGTTGGGTGGAAGTGTACCAGTCTGTAGATAATAACATACAGTATGTTTCTGAATTATTGATGATATACTGCTGTTGTGACAGTAAACAGAAATGTCAAACACTATCACCTGCTGTTGCATCAGGGGATATCCAGACCTCTAAATAAAACAAAAGCACTCATCTCTTAAGGATGTTCCCTTTTCTTCAGGTGTTTATTGAAGCAATAGTTGCGTCTAAAATGCCATTTTAACTTGTTAAAGCATAGTTTTTAGTATGGTATATTTTTATTTATAAATCATGTCTGATGCAGTGTGTACTCAAGTGCAGATGACAAAGTACCACTCTTACCTGTAACTGATCACCCACTGAATGTACTGTAGATGGGCCTCTTAATAGACATGCCTGTCAGCTTATGTTATCCACAGTGCCTTTCAAATGCTATACAGCGCAGCCCACCACACCAAGTCTGGAGGGATATAGCAGAGCCTGATAACGATGGCCTACGTGTGTTTTAAATAGCGTGGCAGATTCAGTTTTAATGTTTCCTGGGCTGATGCTCGGAGCCTCTGTAATTTATGCACCATAATCTGTAATCCAGGAAAAATGTGACCAGTGAAGCCCACACGTGTTTGTCACTGTGAGAAGTGATGGCTGATTAGTTGGTCAACTCAGAGCTTGATTCTTCATGTTGAATCGCTTTTGTGAGATTGGAAATTCATGAGAGAGTGTGTGCAGTCATGTGTCTCAAGTAGCTCTGGGTATTCTGTTGGTGGTTTGTGCCATTTGACACAGTACTGTGATCAATACTCTTTGTAAATGTTACAAATGACTAATGCTTCATTCTTACTCGCACAATCTAGCTCAGGACACAGCCTGCTGTATGCACATTCATATCATGGTGTGGATGTATTTTTGGGAAAGTGCAGCCAGATAAAAGACTTTACATACTGGACAAACAGAAGTCATACACAAATCCGGGAGGCTCAGATGTCGAAATTCATAGACCCAAACAGTATTAGATCTGCAGTGCACGTGTTCCAGCCATTTGCACAGCTAGCTCTGTGTTCACGAATGTGTGCCTGTATCAGAGCACGTGCTAGCACGAGGGCTAGCCACATCTGCAATAAATTACTGGATCCAAGCGATGCATACATGTGGGTGTTTGTGTGGCTGTTCGTTGCCACTTATCCATGTTTCCCCTGTGCTGCATATGTTTTTTGTAAGTGATGTGATGGGCACACGAGAGCACATAAATTTGTATGTCACAGTTTTAGATGGTTTACTTTTGTTCTATTTTGCTTGAGTAAATGATCCACCCTTCACAGATCCTTCATTTAAATGTTATTAATTGGGGACTGTTAATGGCAGTGGAGATTGTTGTATTAAGGTTGGATTAGTGCAGCTCCCACTCAGTCATGTTGCTGGCTATATGCTCCCTCTATCATTTTATTTCTGTTTACTTGCCTGTAGTGGAGATGAATTGTAGTACACTCAGTGTTGGGAGTAGTTTAGCTACATTTTGCAGTAGCTTGCTGGTAGTTCAACTACATCCACATTTGCAAAGTAAATCAAGTAGTTAAATAACTTTGTTGCCATTTTTTGTATTGTTAACTACAAAGAATTTTGGGCTCTAAAAGAAAAGGAATGATTCATTTTTATTTTACCATGCTCCACGTGAGCGGCTTTTCAGCCTTGGCACAGACCTTCTGAGTGCCACACAGAGCCGCCTGTCGGAGAAGGACTTTGAGAGACTGCTTGTGTGTCAAACAAGTAAACTGACAAGTAAAATGATAGGCCCATTATTTGGACCAGTATTCAAGCTGTTCAGACTGTCTAACAAGGTGGAAGCTGAAAATAATTTAGCTGTTATGATTTTTCAAGTCAGATGACCAGTAAGACAACAGGCCTGTTTCTTTAGACCAGGTCTTTAGACAGTCTAAAATGAAGCAAGTTAAGTACTGGATACCCTTCCTTGCAGTTTTGTCCTTGTGAAAAACCCAGATAGCATTGTTTTTGCTGCCGTGTGACTTTTTTGTATTATATTTAGTTCTAACTTTGTATCACATGTACATTATCAATTTGATTTTTTTTTTTTACAAAGTAGTCTGAACTACTTTTTCTGCCCAGCCTTAGTTAACCAAACTAGATTTCTTCCTGTGTTGTTGTAGTTCACCTTCTTCCACTGTGAAGTCACACAGCTTGCAAAGTTGTAGCTTCCCCACCACTAGGAAGAGTAAAAGGCGGAGCATTGGTTCAGCTCTATCTGTGGGAGCGCATTAACTCACCTTGTATGTGTGCACGTGGGTGTGCCTGCGCATGTTAGTGCTAAGGCACTGTGCTATTTATTTTATGTTACAAGTGTTATATTTTTGTCAGCGAGAGTCAGCACAGAGACATGCAGCAACACAGATAAAAGCAAATTGTGTATTATTAGGCGAGTACACGCACTGCATGTAGTGAACTGCATGAATTGGTGCGAGTGTGTGTTGTGTGTTGTGTGTATCTTCCTGTCCATCAGGGTGTTACATGGAGGCATATTTGAATTGTTACTATGGAGACTGAGCTCTGCTGTTATACAGAAACACATATCCAAATGGCTCTTTGTCTCTGTCTGCTCAATCGATTGCTGTCGCATTTCTTACATTATTTTTTTCTGATAGTTTCCCTCTGCTGCCCCCCTCTGAGTTGAGTTGTGTCTTTTATCCTTCCTTAGTTTCCTTAAGATTTCATTAACCTCCTCCCCACCCTGTGCCTACTTTTATCATGTTGTGCTAATCATGTCATCTTTTCATCTTTCTTTCTTCAGCTGTTGCCCCTCCGCACCTCTTTCTGTCACTCCCTCCCTCCCTCCTCAGGGTTTCTTATTGCTGTTCCTTCCTCCACCTCCATCTCTTTTGTGTATGTCTCTATTTATTCTTTCCCTCGCCCCACTCTTCTCTCTTCTCTTCTCTGTGCTGCCTACCTCCCACTCGCTTCCTCCTCCTTCCTTCTCTCTCTCTTTCTCCCTCGGCTCCGCTGTGGCGTCCTCTTGGAGAATTCAGCTCGTTTACAATTAGCATGTGCACCTGCAATTAAGCTTGACAAACCTCTGGTAATTAGACCTTTTAGACAAGCAGTTTTTTTATGTCGAGATCACATTTCCTCCTCCTCTGATCTTCCACACTGTTTGGCCTTTTCTCTCTGTACTCACCCTATTTCACAATTCCTATGTGATTTCTGTTGCTGCTTTCTGCCTCTTGTCATTTACTTCTCCTCACAACTTTCTCCATCTGTCTCCTTCTCCTTTGTTCTCTTTGGACTTTTGTCTTTGGTGCTAACTGGATCAGCTCCACAACACACAGGGTGCTTGATAAATAAAAGATCAGTGAAGGTGTTGCGTGAGTGAGGAATAGGAATGAGCCTTTTACTCTGCTCCTCATTTATTATTCTCTTAAAGTGCTCCTCCGTGCTTAATTTAGAATACAAGCATGAACATATACTTATTAAGATTCCTCATTTTTATCTATGCAGAAAATGTGCCCAAATTTGTCCTCCTGATAAGCTTGTATGTGCGTGCGTTCAGACACAAACACACACAGTAAGAAACCATAATTTTCACATCAGGCTATGACTAATTGTGTTTCTCCCTGCCTGTCACCTCCCTCTGCTTACATCTTTCACTCCGCCTCTCTCCTTCTCACTTACTTTCTTTCTCGTTTCCCTTTTCCTCCATCATTTCTCCTCTTTATTCTACTCTACTGCTCTTTGTATGGCTGCTAAGAGAGGAGCAGTAAATAATAGCAGTAATAGTAAATAACAGGTCTGCAGCTGACTTCAAAGAGCAGCAAAGGAATCTCAGAGGGTTGGAGGGAGCAGCTGAAAGAAAACGGGTTTGGAGGGTGAAGGAGAGCAGAGCAGCGAAAGGCGTGTGGGAGGGAGAGACAAACCGAAGAGAGAAAGACTCGCTTGAGCCCAGTCTAAGTGTCTAATGGTCACTTAGCCTGGCAGCTAGTCCGTGAAACTGTGAGGCTGTCAGTCTGTCAAATGCACCGAATGCTGTCCTGACTCCTTCAAAACACATACTCACTTGCGCGCACACACATTATCTCCTTCCTCTTCTGTCTTTGATGTGTGCCACGGGGTTCCTCCGAGGAAGTCACAGCACAGCATAATGGATGTGGTGCTGTCACTTGATACTCTATGAGAGCTTAGAGGCCTCTCTCAGTGAGTGGCTTGATACCAAGTTATGTGGGTCACTTAGTGTGGTCTGCAAATAAGAGGTTTGAATCATGGGGATTTTTGTAAGATTCTGACCAATACTGGTTTTTATAAAACCTTTTTTACTATTGTTATCCTTAACATAAAGCCACCAGTGATAGACTGAACATGTTTTTGGGTAGTGAACTGAACTTTACCCAGTCTGAATCTATGAAATTACAAGAAAAAAAAGGAAAAAAGAAATAAGTAAGAAATATCTGGAGCAGATGTTTGCCTCTTGTCTGCCATTTCTCTCCACATTTCACCCGAAACATCAAAATGATGATTAAAACAGAACAGAAAATAATTAAATCAATCTTTTTTTTTTAATGGCTTTCTAAAAACAATGGCGATTCCATAAGACAACACATATCATGAGCAAACGTTTTTGATAAGGGTTCCTTAAATTAGTAGGAGCCACTATGGACATAGTTCAGAGAAACTAATATCACTAGATAATATCAACCTGACAAATGTAATGTTTTTGGAAGCATTTTTACATTAAGTTGTTTGTGGTCATAAATGTTTTTCTCTTTTGGCCAAATGTGAAATGCTCTATGTCATGTCTGTTATATTTATCCACTCTCTCTGTACCTTGTTCCCTCTTTATTTACACTCCTCCACAATGCTTGTCAGCCTCCACCTTTCTCCCTCCCATCGTCAGGACAAGCGCTTGGTCTCCCCCTCCTCCCCCTATCACCCTCCTTCGGACCAGTCCTCTCATCGTCCTTATCCTCAACCTCGGCTGACCCTGCCCTTTCTCTCCTTGTCCTTCTCTCTCCTCCTCACCATACTCCTCTTGCCTGCCTGCGAGTCTCGCAGGGGTGGAGGTCCAGGAACAGGGCCTGGAGGTGTCCCAGGGGGACAAGGTGGCCAGAGGGGAGGCAACACCCAGAGGGGTGTTGCCATCCCTCCTCAGTACTCTCCTGGCTTACCAGCTCTTCCCCCAATCAATCCCAAACTGATCAGCTCACTCAGTATTGCTGTCATCCTGGTGGGCAACTCTAGTGAAGTGGCCCTGGGGGCTGGACTTGAGAAAGAGGACTTCCTCCACATCCCTTACCCTCCCAAAGTTGAGGTGGTAGCCATGAACGAGACCGACCCCAAGAGTATCATCAATCGGATTTGTGAACAGATGACGAGGAACTCGCTGCAAGGTGTAGTGTTTGGTGATGACACGGACCAGGAAGCCATCGCTCAGATCCTGGACTTCATCTCTGCCCAGACACACATCCCCATCCTGGGCATCAGGGGAGGGTCCGCCATGGTTATGGCAGCCAAGGTAGGAAAGCTCTTCATCTCTATTTTAGGAAAAACACAACAAAACAAAAAAAGTCATACATGAATTGATGCAACTGTGTATTATTTGTTGATGGTGGTGGTGGTGGTGGTGGTGGGTGGGTTATGGGATTTTTTTTTGTATTTCATAATACAACCAACTCTCCACTGAGGATTTAACATAACATCATCCATTTGTGTTTAGATGCCAAATCCGTAAAATGCATTAGGCCAGTTTTATTTGGGATATTTTGTATAACTTTTTCTGTTGCTGTTGTTATTTTATGATAATTCGAAAACTCAGAGAGGAATCAACTTCTCATGCTAATCCAGCTTCTCTGCTGATTGATTTTTGCTGTTAATTGACCTCTTCTGTGAGCCTGACGTCATATCGAAGCCTCTGACAGTGAGAAAATTCAGCTCTAAAAGGACTCACACCGTGAAACAAAAGAATACAGAGCAAGTCAAAAGCCTTCTCTGTGGGATTTAGGATTTAGCACAAACCAGGCTGCACGAGGAGAATCTATGATCCAGAAATGGAACAATAGCTTCTAAATGTATCCTTAAATAATGCTGTGTTAATGGGCTTAGCACTGTTTAAGTCCTACACAGAAATATCGAGGTTGGGTTTTTATTAGTTTTCCACTGCAGCCTGGCCCTTGAATCAAATGTATAGGACAGTAGCGATTCACTGTAGCTGCCTCTTTGAATGGCATTGGTAATGTATGTTTAGCTCTGTAAGTTCAAGTTATCTTTTTATAACTGAGGGTGAAAATTCTTTGCTGGCCTTGGGAATAGTCAGTAGTAGATATGAATCAGTTGTAGCTCAACGAAATCCAGTACAGCAGTTCTGCCAAGTCTACATTTACGATACCTATAATGTTCTGTTTTTTCATAGCGATGTTAATTAAGTTATACAGTATGTTTTAGGACTGAGATCACAATTAGTGGTGGAGTTGTACTGGGCTGCATTATGTTCAGAGGTTTCTAATACCCTGCCCTTGTCTTGTATGCAAATGTTGAGGACAAAAATGAGAAAAACCTCTCAGTATAATGTAGTCCAGCACAACGCCAACTTTAACTATCACCTCATTAATAAACATGTAATTGAATTTACATATTTCTGGGAATCTCAACAAAAACTGGACCCAGTGAACCTAAAAATACAGGTTTGTTGCATTAGACCACGTTAGACTGTACAGGTGTACCTAATAAAATGACCACTGAGTGTATCTGCTTGCATTAGATTGGTGTTTTACTTCACCTATGTGACATATGAAGGCATTTTTGTGACCAAATTAGCCCAAGTGGTAGAAATGTCATTCTTAAACCAACGTTTGCTCCGATAGATCAGCCGATCTGATTAGAGTTTGGAAAACCTGGCAGCACAAATCTGCACAAAGTGATTACTGTAAAATCTACTTATTAATACTGTTTATGTGCAATGTGAAGACACGTATCATAGCTTTATTAGAAAAACTGGTTATGTTTGATAAATTTCTTCAAATATGTTCTGATAATAAACAGCTTTGGAGCCTTTAGACAGATTGTTATAATCTGGAAATCAAACCTAGTGATTAAGTAAAACAGATTAAATCAAAGTTCCAGTTCAGTGAACAAAGTATGTTAATGGCTCTGCAGCAAGGCCTCTTGCTGACATTCATCTACGCAAACCCTCTGACACACAACCTCAGGAGGTTGTGTCAGGTTTAGAGACACTCATAAAACTTACAGGACTTTTCTTCCTGTGATAGAGGTGGTAATAATTGGAAAGGAGAGAGGAAGAGTGATACTGTAGAGATGAAGGTGAGAGCAAGAGAATAAATGAGAGAGAAAGAGATAAAGAGTGTGTGTGTGGTGGTGGTGGGGGGGTTGAACTAATACAATTTGTGTGGGTGTGAAGGAGGAAGATGATTTTACTCAACATATAATTACCACATTTACAGCTGACAAAGAGACAGAGGTCACCAACTGAGAGTGACAACAAGAAAACTGTAGATAAGAGTGTAACAGACTTGTAAAAGTACTGCTTTGGGAATAGAGCACATAAAGGAAATTGTGTGTGTGTGTGTGTGTGTGTGTGTGTGTGTGTGTGTGGGAAACTAGATATCTCTCTGGATGCATAAGAGTTTTTGTGGAAATCTTTATATTTTCCCCTCATTCTCCTTAAACCTATATTCTTCCTCTGTTATGTGTGTTCACTTTCAGTTACACACACACACACACAGAAAACAAGAATGCAGTGGATACAGTTGGCATGGCAACCAGTTTCTTATATATTTCTCTCTGCATATTGTATAAAAGCAGATAGTGAACGAGAGAGAAAAGAAAAGATCATTTCTGAGTTTGACACCAGCAGTTCTAGAAGAGAAAAGAGCTAATGCCCTAGTTGTGCGGGTGCAGGTGAGGGTCTATGTAGATGAATCACTGGATCATCTTGCACAGAGGTGGTGAGAGTGAGAGGGAAGGGTAGAGAGGTCAACTGCATTTCACTGTTGTGTAGTAGTGATTTTTAGTGCTATTGTAAAAAATATTGTTTTTTTTAATGTGACACAAACCAAACAACAAAATTCTACATCCTGGCATCTATACTCTACCCATTCATATTAACACCTACAAAAGCAACCCAGTCTCACAGCACATGGTATAATAGCTGTGTTGGCCTGCAACGCAAAACATAGGCTAGTAGTCTCACAATCATGCCTTTAAAATTGTGACACTGGATCGAAAATTCTGACATTGCAAAGTCTTTTTGGCAGCAAAAATGAAAGAAAATATTTA